CAAACAATGACTCATGGAACACTACATCAAAAACTAATGATGTAATGTATGGTGATTAACATAACAATAAAAAAATTTAAAGAAAAAAAATAATTTGAGCAAAGTGTCAAGAACACTTGAGTCAGTCAGTGACGAATCCAGAGCTGGAGTGTGACCTGTAGGCTGGGCTCTGTAGGTGACCATGTAGACACGAATGAGCTGGGAGGTCGAGGGTGAGGGTGGGAGAAGTAGGCAGATGCAGTGAGAATACGGAAGTGGAACTGAGAGAGCTGGAAGGAGCCACCCCAAGACCTGACAGTCTTCCAGTTTCTCCAAGAACATGCCTGACATCCTTGTAACCACATAATAAACCCCCGTTTACCTCAAAAAAAAAAAAAATGATATGTCATTTGTTAAGCCCTCACTGGTGTGGGGTGCCAGGAAATGGATGTTTTGTCCTAGTGTCATGGAATGTCCATCCACAACTACCATTGTGCTAGTACTGACCTTAGAAATTAAGGTCCAAGCTTATGTTCATTATAAATATACACTGTCCAAGTGCTGGGTATCCATTGGCAAATAAAATGCACACCTTCACTTGCGTGGATCTTCCAGCCTAGTCTGGGACCTTATAGTCTATCTGGTATTTTTTTTTTTCTTGGTTACCAACTTATTGCTTAATTATGGTTTTTTAATATTGTATGAATGAAAAGCAGTAAGATGCTTTGAGACTCATCAGTTACTTAACCCTTGAACTTCTGTAAGGTTTTCTTTCTTTTTTTTTTTAAAGCTAAATCCCCAGATGGGTGAGTAATTAGATCAAGGTTCAGAATGACAAAGACAGATAAAGTAACTGCAAACAACATCATCCCACTTTGAAAGCGCTATTTTGGTCTTTCACCTAAAGTGACTTCTTTCTGCTGAAAGAGATTTGGCAGCAGCTAGCCTAGCGGATGGCAGAAAAATCAACCATGCACTGTAAAGGTTTCATAAGATTGTGACGTGGCCCCATTTTTACAGCCATTACATAATCAATGGCAAAACAGCAGGGGAACAAAAGTAATTTATACCTGACTTTTGGAACGCAATAAAATTTCTATTTTGCTGTTTCTAGATTTAAAGTCCCTATTTTGTTTTGATGATGACTTCAATTAGTTTTCATCTCTTATGCACTAACCGATTGAAAGAGGTAAGAAAGGATGGTCAGAGGCATGCTATGTGGCAAAGAAAAGTCACTTGAGACTTCAGAAATTTGCTCCAGGAAGTCCATCAGAAAGATGAAACCTCTCATGGAAAGGCCACAGAAGAGTACATAAGAAGTAGTTTATAAGCAAACAAACTTGTTTTTCAAGGAAAGGGTGACAATGACAAGAGTTTTCAAGGTTTGTTTCACTGACTAACAGGTCAGGAAGAAGTTTTTTTTTTTTTAAAGATTTTATTTATTTATTTGAGAGAGAGAACATGTGTGAGGGCAAGCAGGAAGAGGGGCAGAGGGAGAGGGAGAGAGAGACTCTCAAGCAGACTCCCACACCCCCACAGCCCCCCCCAAGCACAGAGTCTCATATCCAGCTCAGTCCCATGACCCTGAGATCATGACCTGAGCTGAAATCAAGAGCCAGCCGCTTAACCTACTGAGCCACACAGGGACCCAAAGATGTTGTGTTTTTGGAGACTTCTTGGATGGGTTGAGTTGGATGGCAGTGGGGGATGGGGGACACTGGGAAGAGACTTATCCATTCATGCATATAAAAATGCTGGCTCTGTCGGAAGAGCATGCAACTCCTGGTCTCGGGGTTGTGAGTACAAACCCCACATTGGGAGTAGAGATTACATAATTAAATAAACCTTTTAAAAACTAAAAAAAAAAAAAAAATTTTTTTAAATGCTTTCTGAGCACTTACTTTTGTATGAGTAAATGGGCTGGGTTCTGGACTACAAATAAGTATGAGATAGACATGGTCCTTGTCCTCAAAGCAGTTACAGTTAGTGGGAGGAACACAAAGGGCAAAGGAAGTTAATCAGGGTAAATGGAGGAATGTGGGGATTCCTGGAAGGGACAACTACCTCGCATTTGAAAAGTCAGAGGTTTCCTGGAAGAATTCCTTAAAGCTGACATCTGAGGGATGAGAAAGACCAAAGAAGAGTGTCCCTAAGGAAGGGAATCGTATAGGTAATAAGCTCAGAGGCGAAAGAGAGCAAGCATGGTGTGTTTAAGGAAAAGAAAATAACATATAGGGGGAGGGTTGGGGACAGAGATGAGAAATAAGGCATAGGGGGTCCTCTAAGTCTAGTTAAGAAGTTTGAGATTTAGCCTGAGGGTCAGGAGGGGTATATTCAATCTTCATTAAAAAACAAAACAAAACAAAACAACTGGCTGCCAGAGTTGGAAGCTTTTGTCACCCAGGTGGCAACTAATGGTTAGCTGTACCTAGAAAGTTGCTGTGAGGATGGAGAGAATGAAGAAATAGTCAAGAGATCTTAAAGAGAAAGAATCAGCAGGGGAGGATTTGATTATGGATGGATACAGGACAAGCTGACAAAGGGGTAGAAAAAGTTTCTGGCTTTGGCAACTAAATAGTCCAGCTCAACTGAGACAGGAGACACTGGGGTAGGAGTAGTTTGATTGAGAGGTGGGGGAAGGTTGAGTTAAAGGTGGCTGGAGGATACGTTGATTTGACTCACAGGAGACTAAGCTTAGCGGTTTGGGAATCATCTGCCTAAATGGGAGAAGAGAAGGTTCAAGACAGAATCCTGAGAAAGGCCCACAATGAAGAGAAAGAAATGCTTGTAAAGGAGATTTAGATGGATTTTTTGAGAGAAGAAAGAAAAATCAGAAGAAGGTAGTATCAGGGAAACCCAGGGACAAGAGTTTTCCAGGGGGAGGGAGTGGTCAACAGTGTTCAATGCCATTGAAAACTAGGTAGAAGCTTCAGACAAACTCCAATTGAAGGACATTCTACAAAATAACTGACATTTAAAAATGTCAACACCAAGAAATACAAAGATTGAGAAATGGAGATTAAAGGAGACAAAAAGAAAAACAAACCATGAAAACTGAGAATGCAGTGCATGATCTGGGATTGTCTTTTGCTGTATCTTCTATCATTTTTAATGGTTATATAATAATCCAGATAATTAAGTTCATTCAATTATATTTGAGTTAGTCATTTTTTTTTAAAGATTTTTATTTATTTATTTGAGAGAGAGAGAATGAGAGAGAGCACGAGAGGGAAGAGGGTCAGAGGGAGAAGCAGACTCCCCGCTGAGCAGGGAGCCCGATGTGGGACTCGATCCTGGGACTCCAGGATCATGACCTGAGCCGAAGGCAGTTGCTCAACCAACTGAGCCACCCAGGCGCCCTTTTTATGAAACAAACAGGAAAGTAATTTAGTATTATTCCAGGCTTTGTCACAATCTATGTTACTTTATTTTTTTTTTATTTTTTTAAGATTTTTTAAATTTATTTGACAGAGAGAGAGAGAGCACACAAGCAGGGGGAGCAGTAGAGGGAGAGGGAGAAGGAGGATTCCAGCTGAGCAGGGAGCCCGATGAGGGACTCTATTTCAGGACCCTGGGATCACAAACCCAGCGGAAGGCGCGTGCTTAACTATCTGAGCCACCCAGGCGCCCCTCTATGTTACTTTATTTTTTTTTCTATGTTACTTTAGAAGAACGTTTTTGTGGGATTCGTTACACCAAAAAAAGTTGAAAAGTGAATCTATACACTTTGATTACCAACGCTGGAAGAGAAAATGAAATTTACAGTTGCTGTTTTAGGTTTGAGTATGTTCTTACTTCTGATTTTATCTTTATATTTGCCTTCAAATTTGTCATATGGTTGACCAAACCTCGGCTAGCATTATTTAAAATATTCATCGCAAGTGAAGGACTCCCTAATTTATGGGGTTCTATCCTAAGATAGGCATCTGTAGGAGGATGTGAATGTAAAGGACTCTTTCAAGAAGATGGCGAAACGGGGCAATAACCTTCAGTCTCCTTTCTGTGGTCCTGCAATTCCGGTACTCGTATAGGGCTAAGTTGCATGCAACATACTAAAATATTTTCATTGTCTTTGATAATTTCTCTCTACTCTTTATGTTTTTTAAAACGTAGACATTTAATTTTTTTTAAATTTAAATGTTTTTTTCCTGTTCCCTTTCGCGTCCACCAAGAGCATTTACCAATAAGCCTTTAGAAATTGCCCAAACTGTCAAGTGCGCAAAACTTCACGGGCTGGGAGAATGCCCTCAGTCAAGATGGCTGCTGCTACAGTCCATTGCCCTTGCTTGCCCTCAGCAAAGGTGGCTCCAATGACTTCCTTCAAACCGGCTTTTCCCAGAACAAATATGGCACCTCCGCTTCCGGATTTCGGTGAGCGGCTCTTGCGGGTCGGTAAGTGTAATGGGGACCTTGCAATTTTTCTCAATCAGTTGTCTCCGTGGACTGAGGAGTGACCTGGAATTAGGAGTAGGTAGGGGGTCTGGGCAACGCATCAGATCATTCTCTCATAATTGGAAAATTATGGCGGCTTCTGGCACACTTCCAATTTCCCCCTGTCCCACCCCCTCCTTCTCCCCAACAACACATGGCCTCCGCAGCCACCTCGTTGGGGAAATCCCCTAAATTTGCAGGCAGTGTGACCGGATGCTCTTCCGTTCCTCTTCTCCTTTTTAAAAAACCAGCTTTTTATTTTTATATAATTATTTATTTTAACGACTGAGCCACCCAGGCGCCCCTAAAGATTTTATTTATTTATTTGACAGAGAGAGACACAGCGAGAGAGGGAACACAAGCAGGGGGAGTAGGAGAGGGAGAAGCAGGCTTCCCGCGGAGCAGGGAGCCCGATGCGGGGCTCCATCCCAGGACCCTGGGATCATGACCTGGGCTGAAGGCAGCCGCTTAACGACGGAGTATATTTATTTTAAAAAACAGCTTTTTAAAGATATAATTCACAGTCCATAAAATTCACCTGTTTAAAATGTAAAATTCACTGGGTTTTCATATATTCCCAGGATTGTGCAGTCATCGCCACAATCTAATTTTAGAACATTTTCATCACCCTAAAGAAATACCTTGTACCCATTAGCGGTCTCCATTCACCATGACCTTTCAGCCTTAGACTAATAGTAGTCTACTGTCTATAGATTCGCCAGTTTGGAATTCGATATAAACTGAATCATACAACATGTGGCTAAAAGATAAACTGAGGCATATTTAAAATTCTAAGTTAATTCGGGCAAGAAGCGATTCGAATTGGGCAGTATCCAATGCAGCAGTTAGTAAGGAGTTCTGAGGAGCTGAACAAAATGAAAGACTTATAGGCAGAAGGGAGCAGAAACAAGGAAGTAATACTAGGCCAAGAAAGCAGGCTGGTTATTGCAACGTTACATCTCTTTAGGGGATGGCAAGGATCTACCTGGCAGATTACCTAACTAGTGCTGATCAGGCGATTCCTGACTGGTTGTGGAGTTTAGCACAAGTGACACCATTTTGGATCTGTTGTCTTGTTTTTTAACCCTAGCTTCTTATCACTAAGTATAATATTTTAAAAGTTTGTCCTTGTGGAATGTATTAGAATTTAATTTTTTTATAAAGCTGAAAAATATTCCGTGTGTGCATAGACCACATTTTATTCATCCATTCATTAGTTGATGGACATTTGGATTGTTTCCACTCATTGTTTATTATGGATAAAACTACTGTGAACATCTGTGTAAAGTTTGTGTGGACATGTGTTTTTATTTCTCTTGAGCATATGCCCAGGAGTGGAATTTCCAGGTTAAAGCGTAACCCCGTTTAACCTTTTGAATAACTACCGGACTGTTTTCCAAAGTGCCAGTGACTTCGTATGTGGATATCCAGTTGTCTCAGTGTTGAAAAGACTGTCCTTTCCTTTTCCCGTGAAATTGTTTTGGCACCCTGTGGAAAATCAATTGACCGTAACTGTAAGGTTTTACTTCTGGACTCTGAGTTCTATTCCATTGATCTGTATGTCCATTCTTATGCCAGTACTACGCAGTCTGGATTATTGTGGCTTTTTAGTAAGTTTTGAAATAAAAAAGTATGAATCCTCCAACTTTGTTCTTTTTCAAGATTGTTTTGGCTATTCTGGGTCCCTTGCATTTCTGTATGAATTTTTTAAACACTTTTGTCAATGTCTGCAAAAAGAAAAAAAAAAAGCCAACTGAGATGCAGCTAAGAATTACATTGCTCTGTAGATCGATTTGAGCCATATTGCTATCTCAAAATATTGTCTTCCAATCCATGAATATAGGATGTCTTTCCATTTGTTTAGATTTTTAATTTCTTTCAACATTTTTTTAAAGATTTTATTTTTTAAGTAATCTCTATACCCAGTGTGGGACTCAAATTTATAACTGCAAGATCAAAAGTCATATGCTCTACCGGCTAAACCAGCCAGGCACCCCTCTTTCAACATTTTTTTTTTTTTTTTAGTTTTCATTGTACATGCTTACACATTTTTATTAATTATATTCCTAAGTATTGTATTCTTTTTGATGCTATTGTAAATGGAATTATATTCTTAATTTTAGGATTGTTTATTGCTAGTATATGTAAATATTTACACAATATTTGACACATCTTTATTGCTAGTGTAAAATCATTTGCATATACTTTTACTATATTGATCTTGTATCCAGCAATCTTGTTTAACTTGTTTAGTGGTTCTACTGGTTTTTTTTTTTTAAAGATTTTATTTATTCATTTCAGACACAGAGATACAGAGAGGGAGAGGGAGAAGCGGGCTCCACGCTGAGCCAGGAGCCTGATGTGGGGCTCAATCCCAGGACCTTGGGATCATGACATGAGCCGAAGGCAGACGCTCAACCATGTGAGCCACCCAGGCACCCCGGTTCTGCTAGTTTTTAAAGAGGATTCCTTGGGATTTTCTATAGTTTCACTTCCCTCCTTTATGAAAATCTTTATGGAAGACTTTTATTCCATTTTCTTGCCTAATTGTGCAGCTAAAATGGAAGTGATCAGAGCGGACATCATTACCTTGTTCCTGATGTTAGGGGGAAAACATTTAGTCTTTTACCATGAAGTATAATGCTAGCTATGCATTTTTTGAAAAAAAATTATCAGATTGAGGAAGTTCCTTTATATTTCTAGTTTGTTGAGTATTTTGATCATGAGTGTTTGACTTTGTCAAATGTTCTGTGTGTCTGTGTGTGCTGTGGTTTTTGTCCTCTTTTCTACTATAGTATATTACATTGATTTTCAGATGTTAAAACAACTTGGAATTCCTAGAATAAGTTCCACTTGTCATGGAGTATAATCCTTTTTATATTTTGCTGGGTTTGGTTTGCTTGTTTTCTGTCAAGGATTTTTGTGTCTGTATTCAAAATATCAGTCTCTAGTTTTTTGTGATGTTTTTCTCTTGTTTTGGTGTCAGGCTAATATTGGACTTAGAGTAAATTGGGACATGTTCCCTCCTCTTCCATTTTTTAGGAGTTATCTAGGTGAGGGAAGGACAAGTGCAGTAGGAGGAAGTAGGGCTTATTGGAGAACCTGAAGGAAAGCCATTATGCTTGAAGCCTGGAAAGCAGTGAAGGTTGGAGGATTTGGCTAGAGAGAAATTTCTAGGTGGTGATTAACGTCTCAGAGGAGGAAAGAAGAGAGAGCCTTGGGCTAAGCATGGAGGAAGTCCAGTTGGGATTGGAAGATGAGCCACAGAGCAGGCAGGAAAGAACAAAGGCAAAGAGATGGGAGGGCAATCAGGAGAGTGGCTCCCTGAAAAGCAAACAAAGGATGGCAGAGTTTCCAGAAGTTGTATGCTGAAGGGATCGAGTTGGTGCAGATGAGGAAATGAGCCAATTTAGACTCTTGAGAAGTTTGTGGAAGGGAGAAGAGACTGGCTGTGGGGAGGGCAGGTGTCAAAGATTTCCTTTTCACTTTTCTTTCTTTCTTGACAACTTTTAATGTTGATATGGTTTTTAAAAAATAATGTATATATTTTTTATTTAAATTCGATTAGTTACCATATAATGTATTATTAGTTTCGGAGGTAGAGTTCAGTGATACATCAGTCTTATATCAGTGCTCGTTACATCATGTGCCCTTCTCAATGTCCATCACCCAGTTACCCCATTCCCCAACTCCCTCCCCTCCAGCAGCCCTCAGTTTGTTTCCTATGATTAAGAGTCTCTTATGGTTTGTCTCTCTCTCTGATTTCTTTTTTTATTTTTTCCTCCCCTCCCCTATGGGCCTGTTTTGTTTCTTAAATTCCACATATGAGTAGGATCATATGATAATTGTGTCTCTCTGATTGACCTATTTCACTTAGCATCCTACCCTTTAGTTCCATTCATGTCGTTGCAAATGGTAAGATTTCATTCCTTTTGATGGCTGCATAATATTCCATTGTATATATATACACCACATCTTCTTTATCCATTTATCTGTTGATGGACGTCTGGGCTCTTTCCATAGTTTGGCTATTGTGGACATTGCTGCTATGAACATTGGGGTGCAGGTGCCCTTCGGATCACTACATTTGTATCTTTGGGGTAAATCCCTAGTAGTGCAATTGCTGGGTCATAGGGTAGCTCTATTTTCAACTTTTTGAGGAACCTCCGTACTGTTTTCCAGAGTGGCTGTACGAGCTTGCATTCCCATCATAATGCTGATATGATTTTATACCTTCAAAAAATTGCAAGACTAGTACAAAGAACTCCCAAATAACATTTTCCAGATTCACCAATTGTCTATTGTCTACACTTGCCCCATCCATTTACTTTATCATTCTCTCTCATACACACACACACACACACACACACAGAACTATTTGAGAGTATGTTGCACACATTATGTCCCCCTACCGATGAATATTTGAGTGGCATTCCCAAAGAACAAGGACATTCTCTTACATACTAGGTTTTGTTGAAAATGGGTTTGGGCGTATTGAAATATCCAAGTGAAGGTCCAGTGGAACAGAAGTGGGAGAAGGGGTTGTCATCACTGAAGGCTCGTTAAAGGGTCCAGAGCGTGGGATTTACGGTGCAGGTGGAGGGGTTGGACTTTGCCACAGGAGGGACGGCTCTCTGTTGTGAAGAGAGGTGAAGCAGTGGACAGATGTGGGAATCTTTGTTCTGTTTGTTAAGGGAGTGGAGGAAGTTCCTCTCTGCTGGATTCTGTTTCCTTTATCAGTTAGGATGTGAACAGATCTACTGAAAAGAGCAGGAAGGTGTGTGAGAAATGGGAAGGGTCTGAGTTGAAGAAGATTGGAGAAAATGCGAGAGTCAAGGAGAGGGGAAGAGCGAGTTATGAGATAAACATCTCAAGCTTCCTGTGGCCAGACAGCCCATTTCAGGCTGATGCTCATTCATTTAGGGTGAGCCAGCTTGTCC